AATTAATCACATTTCTCCCCCTCATAGCCCTCGGTGCACTCGCAGGTGTAAGCCGGCTCCCCCTCCTCCCCGCCATCGCTCCGGCTGCAGTTTCCATGGAGACAGGGACTGCTGGCACATGGGTCTGTGAAAAACTAAAATAACAGAAAAGAAATAAAAACAGGAAGAGGTAAAGAGAGAGACAGAACAAATACACTATTGTCTAACAGTGTTTTTCACCTCTGTCACTGCTGTCCTCTACCAGCTGAACACCTTTTACTATGTCGCTTTATTTAGTGAAAGCTCTGAGCATCAACCTGGGATTCAGTTTCATTTTATGTGGTCCACTGTGAAGAGCCAGAAATTGTATAAATAATCCAAAACTCTCACTGATCATTTTCCTCTCTCATGCCGCTCAGCTACTTCTTTTGTTGTTTCTCAGATACCTTTTTACTGCCACCGGTCTGCTCTTTTCTTTTATTACATTTTGACACAAAATAAATTGCTGCAGGACTAGAGTACATTTCTCTGTCTCTCACTCCATTTTTCCAGTGCACACAGAACTACACCCATATAGAGATTTACATTACAGCCCCAAACAATCTTTCCCCATCATGCAATGATGAGGAAAACGTGCCCTGTCAGACTCCTTCATGCTGGTTTCCTTTATCAGTAAATGATCATATTTAAAGGAAAATACTCCTGTAGGAATGTTGAAGGTGAAAGAGGACAAAGCCAAGCCTGCGAAGCTTAATGCCTGGCACAGTGCTGCCTTTGACTTTCAGAGCCTTCTTGGGCTTAAGAATGTCTCTAGACCTGCTGCTGTTTTATTTTATTTACTGAAGCAGCCTCAGGTACAGTATCTGCAGTTCCAGCTGTCTGATTCAAATGTGCTCAGATAACAGTTGTAACAAAACCAGGAGAAAAGCAAAAACCCAGGCTGGGTGAACAAAGGGATGCTAATGATGCCCAACTTGGTCCCGGGTACAAAAAGATGTGTATTTGAGCATCTGCTTGTGCGCATGTGTGTGCATGTGTGTAAGAGAGAGAGAGAACAACAGTGTCATTAACAGTCCACTCTCTCCACAGCTGAGTCACAGCTCATTAGTGCTAATCCGCTCAGGTTTTTACTCGTGATGCTTCTATTAAACTTTCTCTCTGTGCTCTGTAGCACAGCGGTCCCAGCGGTCCCAGCAGACCACTCTTCAGTCCTTACACACCCTCCTGCTCTTATCTCCAGTTAAAACCGCACCAGGGCTGGAGCTTATCCACCTTTAGAGAACAACAACTTAAAGGAAGCATAGAGAGCTCATGAGCTTTTTCATCTGCCACTCCTGATTTCTCTTGCATCCTAGCAGTTCCCATCCAGACTGCTAGGATGCAAGAGTGCACAGAATACGCTCTAAGAAAGCACAAGAACGAACACAACAGAACTTAATAATCAGTGTGATCCAAAGTCTGTATGACAGAATCTTTGCACATTTAACTGAGTAATAATTTCTTGCTGTGCTGTCTTGCTTTTAATACCACTTGTCCACTTTATTAGGAACATCTATACAATGTAATGCAATCAATAATGCTCACTATGGCCTGTTTTTTTTTTTTTTTTGTTAAAAATGTACAAGAGGTGTTAATTCAGCGGCAGGTTATGTTATTAAATGAGATTATAATTACTGCAATATTCTGGATGAAACATTCAAAACACCTCTGACTATAAAATGGTTTAGTTCAACACTGCTGCACAAAAATAAAAATACAGTAATTCTAATACCTCTCTCACAGCGTCAGTCAAAATTGAAAAATATCTTTGTGTTAACAACATTTACGGCAGAGCGTTTGGATTGGATTACATTAGATGTGACTCCATCTTTCCACTCTGAAACAAAAAATGAATTGAGAATATTTTTAATCAATGTTGCCTTAGTAAATTTTATCTTAGTAAACATTACCTCAGTAATGATATGATGCTTTTTTTCTTTTAAAGCACTGTAAATTAAATTGTTTAGACTTCTGACTTTATTTGAAGATATCTCCATGGTCAATAAAAATTCTGATGCTAATTTTTTTTTTCAAAAATTTTAATTATTTCAATAAAACATCTTTAGTTGATGGCAACAATAATTGTTTGTTGTATCTCTAGGGCTAATTAGTTAGCTGAATGTCTGGGTAGATGCCATTGGTTTTTAGTCATTTTCACTGATCTGGTCGACTACTCTTTTATTTCCCAGTTGCACCTGTTAAGGCAAGATAACCTGCACCTTTATAAGTCTTACAGTATGTTCAGATTGATGACAACCTAATTTAGCTTAGCCCACTAAGTGGCAGGTTAAGTAAAAACATACAATATGTGCTTGTATGGAATATTTCACATGTTGGTTTATGAGCCAACATACCTTAGCATTACTATGCAGTGTATGTGGCACTTACTAGTGTTCATATATTCAGACCAATCTTCCTGCAAAAATATTGTCTGTTATTATCTAGTATTAAATAGCTGATGTGCCCTGGGATCTGGAAAACCATGAATCAATTTCTTCTAAACAGCTGATAATAATCCACATTAGTTCCTTTATCTATATTCCCACGGGAACCAACAAACAGAACAAAAAGATCCCGAGAAACCAAATTAATTGCTTCACAAGATGTTGTGATCTATTTACTAATTTAGGATGGCCGTCCTGAAGAGGGAGGATCAGTACAGGTGGGTGGAAGCCAACAGCAACGCTGCTTAAGATACTGGCATCATCAGTTTAACGTAGTGGAGGGGCTGGATGAGTCTGTAGATCTACCACACACACACGCGCACACGGATGCACACACACATACTGTACATTCTTCAGGGTATGGTGGGGAAACACATTTATGCATGTGCGCACATGCATATGCATTTCTGCACACTGGACTGGATCTAAAGAGATGAAAGCAACAAAAGAGACAAGCATCAGCATAAAAGAATAAAAATGAGAGAATGTGGAAAACAAGCAGAAATTCAATGGTAAGTTTATGCATTTAGAACATCATAACTTAACATTGAATCTCTGCAAAAGAATAACTGAATTTAACAGTATAAACTAAACATGAGACATCAGTCTCCACATAGGCAACACATCGGTAGAAGTTAGCCGCATAAATGACTGACTAGGCCTGGCAAAAAAACACCTACATATTGCACAGCTGAGTTCAGTGGCACCAGACAAACTCAGTGCTACATTTTCAGGAGGCTGACAACCTGACAACCTGACATCCTTCAACAACTAACAAAGACTTTTACATTAAAAATGTTACCGACACCTTTACAGGAAAGTAAATGTTTATACTCTGTTGAAGCAGCCAACAAATGTGCTGCTGATGTGCTATGTTAATAGGCTGCAGCAACAAAGTCCTATTAAAATGAATTTTGGGTAAATTTGAGTTTTGAGTTTACCTTGACATACCACATGAAAACATGTTTAACATTCCAATGTTTGGCATAATTTTCTTCAGCACGACCTCAGTTTTTTGACCTGACAATTATTTGTACATTTTGACATACAACATCAACATGCATGATCATTGACTCCTCTAGAGCAATAAGGGCTCCACAGCTCATTTAAAAGTGTCCTTGAGCATGTCGTCATAGTAAATCCCACCCAACCCAGGAGATCTGATGCTGTCCTCTGACCTTTGAGAGGTGTGAACATTTCTCCACACAGATTAAAAAAATGTTATTATGCCTACTGCCTGCTAGCTGTATATCACTCTGTCCAGGGGCTGAGTTGAGTTGTATTTCAGCCAGCTGAAGATTTAAGAGGTAAATAGAGCCTAATATTACAAAGTTAGTGGGTGGTGGTGATAAACAGAGGGCATGATTAGTAAAGGTGGTGTACTGAGGAAAAACAAAGCAGCAGTGGGATGATTTACTGTACCTATTACTCAGCAACTACTAATTCTATAAACTGCTGTTGGATAAAGACGTGCTGCAAGAACTCTCAAGAACAGTCTTGACCGAGCAGTATGTAATCCATCAATTAAAGCAAAACAAAGATCAGTAGCTGGAGTTATGATTTCTCTTTTTTTCCCCCTAGTGTGAATTCCTTGAATATGTCCAGGAAATGACTAAAATGCTGTATGCAGCAGCAGCAGCAACAACAACAAAAGTGCATTTTCATGGGTGAATGTCCAAAGTTTTCTATCATCATTTCACTGAACAGAGACTGTCCTGCAACATCAGTGGTCAGCCTGACTTATACTTTTGTTGCTGGATGGGAAAATGTGCAGATCCAACCACAGTTAAGTACAGGTGCAAAATAAAAGTTCAACAAAATGTTGAAAACTTCATCTTTTCCTTTTAGTCTTTTTTCAAACTTTTATGAAAAGCCTTCTCAGTTGAATGGTGCTGTAATAGCAGTGTCTTAATCTCCATGGTTTTGGAATAAGGTGACTTAAAAAAGAAAAGCTAATACATGGATTTAATGTAGTACCTCTTCTTCTAAATCATGGCTTGCTGTGAATGAGCGGATCAGCAGCCGAGTTCAACAAGCTCTTGTGAATCTTTTTCACTACTGGAGATACTTCACCTAAAATTTACCTTTTGAATTCTAATGAAAATAATCTCAAAAATAACAATGATAAACTGTTGGCAGTTTTCCCTAAACTTAACTGTTTTGCATTTTGGGCAGCCCCCTGCACAATGACCCTATTAGGATATAGCAAGTGAATTACATAGCTGACACATGTAGGGCCAAAAGAACGAAAAATAAAACAGGTAACTCTTTATTTTACAGGTCCAGTAAAGTAAAAAAAAAGTCTACTGAGTTGTGTTGAGTTTATTATTGACTTTCAGATGAATTTCTGAACCATCACAACATAACAACTAACACTAACCCTCACCCTAATCTAAACTTGAATCTAACCTTAACACTACAACCAAATTTTAATGGGTCCTCACAATGTATCTTCATGCAAGAAAACCTTTTCCTGTAATCGTGTTTGTCTGTGAGAGAGAGGTGGTCCATGAGAGGCTATGATCACTCAGCAGGTTGTCTGGAATTGTTCTACAGCTCCTTTATAATAATTAAGATGTGTTGCCATAGCTACAGTAGCTAGGTAACATAAGAGCAATTAGCACATTGTACAGAACAGTGTGTGTTTTCACACCCCCACTGCACACGGTCTT